TTTTCTTGCTTAAACATATTCTATTTCCAATGATGCAGTAAACGAGATGATATTTCATATAAAAATTAGAGAAAGATACATCTTTGCAAATGGAACTAAAACTAATTTCCTATCTTTTATATCTAGAAATTTCTTGAAAGTATGCTATCAATACACTCTGTTTCCTCAGGGTCGATGATCTTTTACACTGTAACTAGCTTTAGAACCTGTTCTCACTTTCAGAGATGTGTGCCTCCATGTTTAAGCCTCTATGACTCCTACTTTAAAATTCACCTTTGTGAGGAGATTATTAGAACCACCAGAAGTCAAAAATTGTGCTCTGAAACTAACAAAATACAGTGTTATCTTTTTAAAAACTCTTTTCATAAGACAAAAATATGTTTGTATTATATTTTGACAAAGTTAGGGTAAACAATTCTGAACAAAGGAAAGCATGAATGACTACTGCTTCATCTCAAAATTTTAACAAATTAAGGAAAAAGAAATATCAGAAGTACCATACACTGCAAATCACTACTTTAAAACAGTGATTATTTTACTTAAGAGGACCTAAGCCAGCAGTTTTTAGTTAGAACATGGCTTATTCTGATATACATGAGATGATTCCATCAGGTTTCTTTTCAGAGTTGGGGTCCAAGGAGATTTCCTGCATAGCTTGTTACATTAGCCTACAAAAAGCACGTGTTTGTTTGGAGACCAGACTCCATGCAAAATCCTCACATGCAAGGTAACAGAGTTTATTGAAAATGTGGCCTGGGTTAGTTTCCAGCTGATGAAATAGATAAAGCAAAGCCCAGCTCTACTTGTCATCTGAGATGTCACTCCCTCCCACACCCTTCATCTCACTCTCACGCCAGTACCAACACCACACAAACTCTATATTACCAACAGGATTCCATGCCAGAGGAATATTGACTCAACATAGATAAAGCAAAGCCCAGCTCTACTTGTCATCTGAGATGTCACTCCCTCCCACACCCTTCACCTCACTCTCACGCCAGTACCAACACCACACAAACTCTATATTACCAACAGGATTCCATGCCAGAGGAATATTGACTCAACAACTTGAAAAATCCTGAAATGGCTTCATGGATTTGAGATAAAGCCTTAGCGCAAAGAACTATATCTTTAAAATAAGACCCACAGCACCCAGTAATTCCACATGCGAAAATACGTATACAGAAACTAAACATAAAAAGGTTTAACCATAGCTCTGGAAATGAATAATATAAATTTCTAACCAATTTGGTTTAATGATACTCTTCTAAAGAAATATATTTCTCAGACTTCACTAATGCAAAGTTTTCTTTTAAATGTCACTACCTTAAATCTTACCTTGTTTTTAAAAACAAGCTGAACAGGAATTTTTAGAACATCATTTATAATTTCCCCATCTTCTTCCACATAATACACAATTATACAAGCTTTTGGAGCCCAAGAATTTTCTGGTGTTAAAGAGAAGGTTGTTGAATTTTGTTTGCCTACAGCCACCAACTGTCCCCTGGATACTACCTGAAAAGAACAGTAGATGAGTTTAACTTTTTGCTAAAGCTAGAAGGATCGCAACTGAAGCTACATTTTCAAACTTCCAAGCTTTACAAATTCTTGGCTTAAACCAGCCTCAAAGCCTTTCTGAATGCCAGAAAACTTCCCTGACAAATACAGAGAGCATAAGCTGGGAAACAGAAAATGATAAGATTAAAGTGGTACTGATTGGAGCTACAGCAGCTTCATAGTGAAGAATCTATTTTTGACTGGAAGGAATACAAGGCACCACCAGGAGAGTTAGATTTGCAAAATTACAAAGGCATGGATAACAATTTTTATTTTCTTTTTTGTTTTTCTTATATTTTATAATTTTCTACAATGAATGTATGTTGCTTATCTAATAGAAATTTAAATTTTAAACATAATGCAAGATTTAATTATCTATTTTAAATTGTAAATATAAGTATAGGTGAAAGAAAAATAGGTATTTTGATTGCAGTATAAAAAGTACAGGCTAAAAAGGTGTGGGGCTGAATTTTTAAATTAGCAAGTTTAATGTAGACATAAGATAGAGACCATTCAAGATGACTGTATGGACAGGTCACAAATTTAGATTCTATAAGAGATTACCATATAGCTTAACTCCTTCAATTGCTTGTTGCCACTAACCACCAACTCAAAAGGTGACCCCACCTAGGAAAAAAATGTTAATTAGTATGTACATATCAGTGGCAAGAGAGTACAAATGTATTGTAATTATCAAGTGTGTCGTAAGCATTACCTTTATATTTTCATCTCTTGTTTTTAGCTGGATGTATGTCTTACTAGGAGACATAAACATACCACGAACTTCCATGTTACTTACACTATCAAGAAAATAGGCCTATAACAAAGGAAAAGAGAACTATAAATTTTCATCTTTAGTAACACCTTGAGAAAAGATGCTACCTGCTGGACAATTGCTGAAAGCCAAATTCTCTTTCATTTTTTTTAAATGCAAGGAAAATACATTCACCAGGCATCGGATCTTCACCATTTTATAGCTTATATTATAAAGAAACTGATAGTTTTAACACATGGGTCATCACAATCATATTAGAGGGAAAAAACATAGTCCTAACTTATTTCAGAAACAAAGGCATCTTATCAGGAAACACTGTGAGAAGAGAGAATGAAATTTTTTTTCACCATTTTATAGCTTATATTATAAAGAAACTGATAGTTTTAACACATGGGTCATCACAATCTTATTAGAGGGAAAAAACATAGTCCTAACTTATTTCAGAAACAAAGGCATCTTATCAGGAAACACTGTGAGAAGAGAGAATGAAATTTTTTTAAAAAAATCCTTTCTTTGCCTCTCTTTCTTTCTCTCCACAATGCACAGCTTATATATAAGCAAAAAATTATACCACCCACTAGATCCGCCAATGTCAGAGTAAAAATCAAAGAGGCCACACCAGTGCAGACCTCGCTCTGCCAGGGCCCTGACTTGAGCAGGGCTGAATAACCAAAAAAAAGGTAGCGGAATGGCTGAGGACTTTCAGACAAGCCACTCTGGGAAAGAGAACTCAGCAAAGGTGTGCAAGTGTAAAAAATGTACATATGCTTCTTTCATTTCAGCTCCTGCCAAAATAAAATTTCAATTGACTGAAAATCAACTTAGACTGGGGGTTGAGGAGCTTCTCCGTCTTATCTTCACATTGATATATTTTACTGTGCTCTCCAAGATGGACTTTTGTCTAACCCTCAGCCACTATCATCAAATTACTTTTAACGCTTGTCCCCATTTCTTTTAAAAAGAAGCCTGTGTCCACTTCCTATGCACTGAGCTCCGATAGGTTGGGTCCTACCACACATGATAACTGTAATGGTACTGCTACAGTCACATAACCATGCAGAACAGATGGCACCTTCAATTGTAGCTCACTGCAAGTGTCCAGGATTGGGAATTCAATCTTAAAGGTTCCATTTGGGGGGACAGTATAATTTAAGATCTGGACAGCTTTCATTTCCTGATTTCCTCTGTTCCATCTGCTCCAGTACTCAGTATGGTTTCTCTGTGTCACTTCTATAACTATATTATTTCTTCTTTCTTCGAGAGTCAGTCGATTGCCATCAGAGCGGGTTACCTTCACCTGATTGTCAAAACAAGACATTTTAAAAACAGATAATAAGAGAAAAAGGACTTAATCCAGTTTCCATCTGTGCTATTCCCAGAAAACTGAACTCTCAAAAATGATTGGCCGCACTCCATTCTCTAGATTCAGTGGCCTCTCTCTAGAAGGCATCCAACACCTCTACCACTCCCTTGTGATATCACGGCTTCCCTTGCCTTCCATGGCTCCACAACAACTTCCTTCACTTCATACCTCTCTTTCTGCATCCTCTCAGTGTCCTTCTTGGTTCCTCTTCTCTCTCCCTAAATGCAGGAATTTGTCAAAGCCAAATTATCAGTCATCTGTTATTCTCTCTTTCCCAAAGGTCTCAGCACTCCTATGGCTTAGCTTCTTATCTCTTTGTGAGTGTAACCCAAATCCAAAATTCCCATCCTCACCTTGCTCTGGAGCTCATACACAACATCTCCAATTCCCTGCAGAAGATTTCTACCTGGATATACAAGTCACCTCAAATTCAGCACATCTAAAATTGAGCAACTATCTCACACTTCCTATTTTTGCTAACACCTTAATATCTCTGAATTTTCCTTCCCTCTCAACACTTCTCTAATCAATGAATACCAAATCCTATATTTCTCTCTTCCATCCTCTCCACTTCCACAGCCACCACCATAAGGCTCCTTGTCACCTCACGCCTGGGCCACTGCCATCCTCCTGCACACACACACAGCCCTGCCTTCCTTAAACACTGCTATCACCAGATCCCTCCCTCCTTCATAAGCTTCCTCATTCATAAGGCTCCTCACTGACTCGAGCATCAAGTTCAAGCACACATGTGAGACACAGGATCCTCTGCAACTCCTCAAGCTTCACCTCCTGTTTTATCGCTCCCAGACACAAGCCCGCAACTGCAGCTGCTCTGGTCCAGCCACTGTTACCTGAATACACCTTGAATTTACCAACTGGAGCTATCATTTTCTGTCTCAGCTCACCTTGCTCCCCACTTCCTACACCCGCCCCGAACATTTAAAGTCCTACTAATCTTTTAACAAATAGTTGAGAACTTCCTGTTCCACAAAGCATCCCTTAAAAACCCCCATCCCCATCCCAAAGTCAACCCCCCTCCTTGGCCAGTTCAGGGGTCCAAACTCTTGACCTTGATGTTATAACACCATGCTCTAACCAACTGAGCTAACTGGCCAGCCCCCCAAACTGTCTAAACTATTAAGATCATTGAGATCAAGAACTACCTAAAACTTCTCTTGACCCATTCAACAAGAAGTGACCCCTCCTTTCTTCAAATTAGGGGTCAGCAAACTGCAGCAAGCAGGTGGGCCAATCCAGTATTTTTGTAAATAAAGCTTTACTAAACATAGCTACTTGCACTTGTTTACAAATTGGATGTGTCTCCTTTCATGCAATGAGTAGCTGTGACAGAGACCATATGGCCTACAGAAATGAAAATATTTACTATCTAGTCCTTTGAAGAAAAAGTTTGCCATCTTTTGCTTTAAATCCCTATAGAAATTAATTCGTGACACTAATCTTTTTTTTTTTTTTTAAGGGTTAATTGCAGTTGTCTTTATTAGCAGGGTACAAAGATTCTGGCCTAGAACTTGAACCAGTGGGCTGCACTTACAGGGACAGATTTGGTTAGATCTTTAAAAACATTGAAATGATCAGTACAGCTGCTCTCGATATGCCACTCTGTGACCATCTGCGTGACACTAATCTTATTCTGCTTTGAATTATAGTTGCATGTATATTTTCTCATCACCATCACAAAATCTGTGAACACCAGGGTAGGAACTGGGTCCTTCTAAGCTTTGAAAGCCCTCCCCAGCACTATGCCTTGCACATTGTCAAAATCCACTCAATTAATAAGTATTAACATTCTCTCAGAAAAAACATGAGAAGGTATGTTGATAATTTTTTGATATTACATCTTTGACAGAATTAAAATTAGTCATTATAAAAATCAAATTGAAATTGAAATTTTGGACTAGCATCTAATTTCTTCAATTAATAAAAGCATCAATGTAACAATCCACATCTAACTAAAATTGGTTGTTCAATAAACTTTCAGAAATTGAAATTGAAATTTTGGACTAGCATCTAATTTCTTCAATTAATAAAAGCATCAATGTAACAGTCCACATCTAACTAAAATTGGTTGTTCAATAAACTTTCAGAAAAAGATTTTTTGCTGTTGTTGGAAACTGTTTTTAGAAAAATTAGGCGAAGGTCATTTGGAAACAATTCTACATGCCTCACATATCTAAAACAGAAAAGTAATCTATCTACTTTTTAGTTTAAATTTTTAGAAAAACATTAACAATACTATTTCCCATTCTGTTTCATTAAGTTGAACTTACTGCCATAGACCAGTAATAAATATACCAACTTACAGTGGCTGTGAAGTTGAGAGCTGGCTTCAAGATGGTGGCATAATCAAAAAAGTCAATGATGTAATCATATTGCTTGAAAAATACATTGGAGCTTGTATTTCTTGAGATACCTGTTTTGGAAATTATACCATTTAGAACGCAAAAGTAATATTTCACCAACAGCTTCTACCCACCAAATCTCTCCATCTAAGCTACTTGCCAAAGGGGTTTACAATATCAGGACACATAAGCCTCATTCCCATACTGGCCTCGACACTAAGAGAACCACACAGTCCTATTTTAAGCACCATTAGTGCCATCCACCCTCAGTGACATGCACCCCAGCAGAGAAAGGCTATTGACAATATAGTCATTTGCTCTTTCAGGGATTGGTTAAAGCTGTTGAAATAGTAACAGAAAAGTCCAAGGAATTAACCTTTATTTTCTTATTAAAAGAGAAAACTATTTAGGACCTCCAAGCAACTTCACCCGAAGAGTACAGCAATGACTTTTGCCAGCTCCTGCTCCATGCACTCACTAGCTCCAGCCTTGAAGTGGTCAGGGCTCGAAATGGTCAGAGCGGTTCTTTCCTTCTCTCATCATGGCTTCTCCCGCCTCCACGCACTCCTTAGACCTCACCTCCTCTTCCCCTTATCCCTAGTGGCCCCAGCTTGGCTGTCGTTGCTTTTTAATAGTTGTAAATTGATTGATTTGGGAGAGAGGGTGACGCTGGGGACCGTCTATTCTGCCATCTTAACCAGAAGCCTGGAAGAGCAGTGGAGCCATTGTGGAAAGGACCCTTAAATGCCTTGCTAAGGAATTCGCTGGATAATGGC